CTAAACAAATTGGCTGGTTTAAAAAAATGTATTGACTCATGTAATCAATTCTAGGAATTCTAGGAATCCAAGTGAGCCTCAGAAATACTAAAACTAGCACCCTCCAGCTCTCCTTTCTGCTTCTCTTTGAACATCAGTGTATTTTTCTTGAGTAGGTGTCTCTGTTCAGTTGTAACTATAGCCACAATTGCCACTGGCTCATATCTTCTCAGTTTAGTGACCAGAAAAAGAAGCCTCTTCGCTCTTGATCAAGTTTGAAAAAAATCTCAGAGGACTCTGACTTAGCCCGGGTCACATGACCCCCTCATTGAATCAGGGAAGCAGAATGCTATGTCCCAGTTTAATAAAATGTTCATTCCTAGGTAATCCCGGAGAGCAAGAAAGATAGAAAAGTACATTCAGAATATATATTAGGGAGAAATATTTCCTCAAATGAGGAGGTATGCTTTTACCAAAGGAAATAAGAACTGATTGCCAGACAAAACAATACAATATATGCCAACTATACTTTTAATCCTAAACTACAGCAGCTGTCTGAATACTTAAGAATATAGGATCTGGGGAACAAATGATCAAAAAGTAAAAAGTAGTCACTTGGAAAATATTTACATGAACTTACCTGATCTTTTCTGGGACTTATCTCAGTTACTGACACTAAATTGAAAAAAAACAAAGAACAAACAAACAAAAAACACTTCTATAAGAATAAATAAATTTTGAAAACATCAATGCACACAATAAAAGAATTAGCAGATCAAAGAAAACGGTCATTTGGGGGCAATTTACACTGAATTACTATAAAACATAAGGAAAAAATAATTAAACTCTAATTTATAATTCATATTCTTAAGACTAACTCAAGATCTGGGTATATGGAAATAAATAATCAGAGAATAGAAAAGCCTTCTTGGAAATATATGAGAGACTAGGCATAAAAGGAAATTGAATCAATGAGTTAGAAGCTCAACTGGAAGAATTCTCTCAGAACTTGAGGAAAAAAATAAAATAAAAATTATAGAAGGAAGGACATCAGAAAAATAATATAAATCTAAGGGATCAAATAATAATAGTTTCAGAAGCAGACAGGAGAACAGACCAGAGCAATCTGAAAAATAACAAAAAAAAAAAAAAAAGAGGAAGTTTTCTTGGACCAGATCAAATATTAGACAAGATTCATGAAATAAGATTTATAACTAGACATAGCATAGTGGAAATGACTAAACTTCAAGGATGAATAAATCTTATGAGGGGGCAGGAAGACTTTATTAAAAGTTTCCTAGAACAGAAAGACAATTGGACTGTATCATCCATATACAAACTTTCCCTTTGGTGATAAAATAAATTCATCCACTCACCAAATATTTATTAAATTCCTACTATGTGTTGATTAAGGGCTGAAGATACGTGGTGAACACACTGAATAAAGTCTCTGCCATGGAATTTATATTCTAGTGGGAATAAAGGAAACTCCATGTGCAGAGTGGAGACAGCCTGCTGGGACAGATCATTTCTGTCTAGGTGTAAAAATGTTATGTCTCACCATATTTAAGAGATGATACATTCATTTCATTTTCTTTTTTGATATTCACTGTAACAGTTAGGATTAGGTTCAGCTGTAAGAGTAAATTAACAGAGGCTCATATTTCCTTCATATGAAAGTCCATAGCTAGGCAGTCCATGGGCATTATAGCATTTCAGCTCCATGAAGTCTTCAGAGATCCAGGCTCCCCATCCCTTAGAATGTACCTTATACCCACACTCTGCCATGCCTTCTGGGGGGAAAATATAGTCAGGCTCCCTGGACTCAGGTCAGGTTGGGGGTCCTGCAGCCCATTCTTAATTCTTTGTAAACAAGTTGTGTGTGGGTGGAGTTAGTGCACATGTGCACCAATGTATCTTTTTAGTTTTGTTGCTATTGTGTGTTCTTGAGTTTGTGGAGCAGGCTGGCTGGCTGGCAGAGAGCTCCAGTCTAAAAACAGAGCATGTTTACTCTGCTGGCAGCTGCTCAGTTTTTCTTTGGACTTTGCCAGTAGCAGTTGAGTTTCTGAGTTTCTGCTTTGTACTGCCTAGCTCCTAGATGTGTGTGTGCAGAATAAAGACTATTCGTACTTCAGCCAAGGTTCCAAGGACCTTTTTGCCAGTTACCTAGCTCATAAGCCTGCATGTGAAGGGTTTGTGAATGGGCTTGAGGGGTCTGTGAGCACCAGACCCCAGCTCTAGCTCTACACCTACTCACCTCCCAACCGCCCCCCACACTCCCCAAACACAATTTGGGTAATCCCACGAATCAGCATTTTAACAGGTATTCTAGGTGGTCCTAACACAGGTATTCTCTAATGCACTCTGAGAAATCCTGATGTAGGGGAATGAAGAAAAAGATGATAAAGTCACTCCCCAAAAATTGGTAATAAGAGAAATAAGATGACTTTCCAAGATTTAAACTATGCAATCAGTAAGTAATTGCTAAGATGACAGATATGCAAAGTTACCTTAAAGAGATCCGGATCACCCTCATTTGACAAAAATGTGTCTCGGGAAGCACCGAAAAAAACACTCAGGCTTTCTCAGGATGTGACACGTACATTTTGTTGTATGCCTCTTGAGAACTTCTCCAAGCATTCTCTTAAGAAAAGTTTGGATTTACTTTTATTGTTAACCATTAAAATGTTTCAGAAGATACTTTGTAATTTTCCATTATTTTTGTCCCTGTCAGGGTGTATCTTAGAAACATAGGTAATATTACGCTGTGGCTGAGCATAACAAAGGCTGAGGTGATTTTCAATTTAGGAAGCTGGGCAAAAATGCAAAATAAATTTTGGCTCCCACATTCTCATCAGTATTTCATTCTAAAGGCAAATAGGCTGCAAAAAAAAAAAAAAAATCCTAGGACAATGTGTCATAAAGCCAGATAAAGAATGGTTAACACTATTTGTAACATAGATCATTCTACTACTTACCTTAACATGAATGCAAAATTGAGTTGATTGTTCTGTTTACCAAGTACTTTTTGAAAATTCAAACCCACTGGTCCTGCTTAGAAAATACATGTATCTCCACCTATAGTGAATTGAATTATGTCCCCCCAAAAAACACTAAAGCTTGAATTGCATCCCTCAAGTTTTCTGTACTAGAAACTTGGTCCCCACTGTGACTGTTATAGGGTGTTAAATTCTATTACAGTAATTGAAAGGTGGAGCCTTGAAGATTTGATTAGATTGTAATACCTTGACCTAGTGAATGGATTAAAAATGGTCAGGGGCATGGTTCTGGGGGTTTTAAAAGAGAGAAGAGAGTCTGTCTCTCTGCTTCCACCATCTTGCAATGTGAGACCCCTGGGTCACTGTCACCACCACCTGATGGACTTTGGACTTCCAGTCTGAGAAACTGTAAGCAAATAAATATTTTCTTATAAACCACACAGTTCCAGGTATTTTATTATAAGCAACAGAAATGGACTAATACACCACCTAAATTATCCAAGTTCAATAGTTAAGGAACCTCCACAAACCATAACACCACTCCTTCCTAGGACATTTTCCCTTATCTCTTCTTTTTACTAAGTACTATGTTCTCTAATAGCTGCTTAATTTCCAAATGAATGCTTCTACAGCTTCAAATAACTCAAGCAACCACTTCATCTGCTGGAGCATTTATTAAAAGTATGAAGTCTGAGTGAGCTTGAAACCTATCCCTCACAGGGATTTCTCTTAAACGTTTTCTCCTTCCTCCCCGTGCCCATTTACATAGATTCTGTAAACTTAAGGGTTGAGAGCAAAAGCTGTCTCCAGCTCTCCCCCTTTCAAAGGCACTCCAAAGAAAGGCCAAGCTGATTATTAACGTACACTCTTGCTTAGGGAAGATTGCGTTATGGCCTGCGAGTCAGGTACTTTAAAATTCCAGTGATGCCTGGCTATGGTCATTGTCTTTGAGTTTTCCTCCAGGAATTCACGACTCCAGCTTGGAAATAACATCAGGCATTTGACTCACCAGACCACCCTATGACGTCAGGGAACCTGTTTATCACGGAATCTAACCTCTGGACTCAAGACACCTGCAAACCCCCGTGATGCCCGCCTCCCCTCCCCCACCCCCGCACGTACCCGCATTCCTTTTTTCCTTGTAGAAACCCTAAACTTCAGTCAGTCGCGGAGGCGGGCTCACATTGCTACTCTATTCACCTATTCTCCCTGCAGTAATTAAAATCCTCCTTCTGTCACTACTTTTTGTCTCTGATTGGCTCTTGGCGCGAGCAACGTAACTCAATTACATCTTTTTGGATCAGCTACAAGTTAGACAATGGGACCTGAGACTGGGCAAGTGTCTTCAACGTTTGGAACTTCTGCTGGGTTTTGTTATTTGAAAACAACGTTTGTTGCAGATTTATTTTCTATGACCCCAGTTAAGTTTAAAGTGTATAATTCTGATTTAAACGTAATCAATATTCTTATAAAGGTATGGTGATAGATTTTCTTAAGGGAAGCAATTTGGCACGTTTTGCTCAGTGTTTCCCAAGCACAATGTTGTATGTACCAGGAAAAATCTATTTATGCTCCATTTTACAGAGAGAGAGAGAGAGACTGCGCCACCCATGAAGCTTTTTCAAAACCACAAGGGCAATGTCAGGAGAAAGCTCTGCTTTATATCCCAACACTGCCAGGCAGAAAAGCCGTTTTCTCTTTTCTTTTTCTTTTCAAATTTCGAGTTCCTTAAGCCAGAGGCTGGACTGCGAACCGCCTGTTTGGGACTAAACCGCCGCACCCCGTTGAGCGAGGAAACATAACGCCGCCTCGCCGGCGACCGCAGGTGGGAGAAGCACGCCGGAGAAGCGGGGCGAGGCCCACCCTCCTCCGACCAGCCCGTGCCAACCACCCGCGCCCGGAGACACATCGTCGCCCGGCGGTCTGGGTTCCGGCGCTCAGCGGCGTCACGTGACCTGGCGGCGCGGCCAATCAGCGCAGCGCTCTAGGCAGTTCAAATCCGCGGCGGCGAGGACAACGGTTGTGCTGAGATACGCCGCTGTCTGGGTTCCGAGTGCCTAGTGTCGCCTTCCGCCGCCATGGACGGCACCGGGCGCTGACAAGCCTATGGAGAGTCGAGGTGTGCCTCCCGGGCCGTATCGGGCCACCAAGCTGGTAAGACAGCGCGGAACGACGAAAGTGGCCAGCGGGCTGGCGGCGGCCACCACTTTTACGTAGTTTTCCACTGGGCGAGGGATGGGTCCCAGGGTCCCCACGTTCGATGAAAAGGAGGGTGAGGGGAACTAATGGGTATCGCCGACCCTCGCTGGACACGCCTCCCTCTCCTTTAGGGTCGGGGACTCTGCTCCAAAGGGAGGCGCCCCGGGAAGGCCGCGCTGTTCCCGCTTGGTTGGGCGACTCTTGTGCCTGGTGTGAGCGTCTCCTGGAGCGTCGTAGATCATTCCTATTTTAGCCGCTGCCCACGTCTGATTTTCTACCTCCCTCAAAATTAGAGAACAATTGAGAATGAGTTCCAAAGCTCTGTAGGGCCAGGTTGGGGACAAACCCGAATATGACAGTGGCGTTTATTGGGCCCGTAGAGTTGAATGCAGGAGGTATTGGCCAAATAGCACTAGGGAACAGCTGCCTTTCTCGAAACTAAACCCAGAGTACTTTTAAGGATCCATCAGAAACCAGTGTTGGTGGTCACTGGATGTGTATGTGCTCTTATACAGTGTTATGTGCATTTGGATCTTCAGTTCTATAGATACTGTGCTACTGGTTGTGTGATATTAGGAGAGTCACAACGTCTGTGAGCCCCAGTTTCGACACTGGTAAAGTAGGCTAATAATACATGTCCACTTCGAGGGATTTCCTGAGAGAGTGCTGTATGTGGAAGTGTGTTGTGATCTACAGAATAACAGACAAGTTATCCTCTGAAGAATGACCTTCAGGTGGGTACGTATAGTTAGCCCTACTTTACCTACTTTACTCTCCTAACCTCACATAAACAGTAAGTGGCAACGGTAGAAGAATTAAGATCTTTCTGGTATGGTGATCCTGACATGGATTCTGCTACTCAATAAGTTATCGGCTATATTTACCAATATAAAGGATAGAATTTAGGACTGGAGGGAACTTTAATCAGGTACTTTTGTCACATTATTTTAGAATTCATTGCTTTAGATGAAAGTAGTACAAGCACGTTGAAAAAGAAAACATTTACTGAGTGCTTACTAGCACTTTACATATATTAGATTATGTTATCATTACAACAAGCCTGTCAGGTAGGTACTGTTGTCCCCATTTTATGGATAACGAGATTGAGGAACAGAGAAGTCAAGTAAGGCCCAAAAGGTCATAAACAATAAATGGTAAAACTACAGCCGGGAAACAAACCCTAGTATGATCCAGAGCCCACTCTTAAAACCACTGCACTATACTGAATCTCAGGAAAGTTATTCTGTAATCTCCTTAAGAGCAGAGACCCTTTCTGTCATTTTTATTACTGTGGCCCCAGGCCAGTACATAAAGGGCAGCTCAATATAAGTTTCTTGAATAAATAAATATATGAGATGCAGAGGTGTGGGAAGAAAAGAATACGGTTATTGTGTTTTCAGTCCTTAAATTCTGTGTTGTGATGCAGTGGCCACATAGATTAGATAAGTGGTAACACAGATAGTAGCAGCAGAACTGTAGTTTTAAATTAGATTTCTTGACCTCTACTGTAGGATTTTTCAGTTAAAAAGTGATGTGTTTATTCTGTACCACCACCACCTCCACGCTCTACTATTAGAGCTGTCATAACCTAGAAGTTTGGCTGATTCTAGGACAGTTTAGAAGATATCAGTATCTTTTTACGATGGAGACATGTCACAGGTTCATTAAATACATAATGGACTTAAAGCTTACTTAATTTACCCCATCAATTCTATGTTACTTACAGGAATCTTCACATAAGAGATACTATAGTAAATACATAAACTATTTTAACATTAAAGGTTAATTTTACCAATAAAACTATTATTGCCTGCCATAAGTTTTGTTTGGTTTACACAGTAGTTAAGGTACAAGTTCTAGAATCAATCAGACCTGGGTTTGAATGCCTAGGTTCATCACTTAGTTGTGTGACCTTTGTCAAATTATTAATCTCTCTGTGCTTCATTTTCCCTATGTGAAAAATGAGATAATAATAGTACCTATTCATAGAATTATGAGAATTAAAGTGAAATTAATGAGTGTAAAGCACATTGCCTGGCACAAATGCTACCAGCATATTATTGGTATTAGTTGAGGTAAAACAGCGGAATAAATGCCTTGTTGAGGACCAAGAGGCAAATACATTTAGTTCTTTCTTATTCCTAGGTTTCCTAAATAAGCTGAGAAACCAATGAAGTGCTTTTAGTAAAAAAACAATTACATAAAAATATTACTACAGCATCAGAATGAATAAAAAGAAATCAGTGTGAGATATAAAATTTTATGTAGCACAAACAAGATGACTGATTTCTTCAAGAATTTTTACAGTGTAATCAGATGTGAATCAAAGAACTTTTTTTTGCCTGATATATTTCAAATCAATGAGATTTTAATTTTGTTTAATTTTTAAAAAAATATTCCCTTTCTTTTTGCAGTGGAATGAAGTCACCACATCTTTTCGAGCAGAAATGCCTCTAAGAAAACACAGGCAACACTTTAAAAAATATGGCAATTGTTTCACAGCAGGAGAAGCAGTGGATTGGCTTTATGACCTATTAAGAAATAATAACAATTTTGGTCCTGAAGTTACAAGGCAACAGACTATCCAACTGTTGAGAAAATTTCTTAAAAATCATGTAATTGAAGATATCAAAGGCAGATGGGGATCAGAAAATCTTGATGACAACAATCAGCTATTTAGGTACTAAACATATATGTTTATACTGAATTACTATAAAATTTTAATCTTTATAATACTTTTACTAAGACAGCAGCTTCTTCAAGAGAAATCTTTAAAAAATTGTTAACTGCTCTCAGTCCAATTAAAACCATTTAGAAAAATTGAAAGGTGAAAGATAATTGCCACAAAATTCACTTGTGTATATTCTGAAAGCTTTAAAACATTTCAAGTATGTATTATTACTGAACTTTAGTTTCATAGGTTCTAGAATAACATGACAAATTCACGGGTCCTTGCTTTCAAATAACATATAATTTAATATAAGAATGCATATGATAAGACTATAGCAAACTGTATATAACAAAAAACAGAAGAAATAAACCACAGGTTAAAGAGAGTATTTATTGAGCATTTATGTACCAGAAACTCTGCTTTATGATTTACATATTTTCTTAATGCCTAGAATAGCTGAGCAGGGTAGATATTAACCCCTTTTTACAGATGAGTAAAGTGAGACTATGCTTCAACAAATTTTGTTCTGTCAGTTTGAAATGGTCTTACACCTTGAAGCATTGTACACAATTGTCAGACTAGAAAACTTACACATTTTTTTCTAATCTTAGCTCGTTTATAACTTTCTCTCTGAGGTCTTTCTGACTCCTTCAGGCTAGCATAATTGCTTTTTTCTCTCTGGCACCCAGGGTTCTTAGTTATATATCCATTAAACTACGTCTTTGTATTCTAATATTCATGCTTTTTTTCTCTCTACAACATTAGTACTTTTCAAATGAAATGTCTTAGAAATTGATGTATGTCATGCAAGTAAAGTGCAATAACAAGCATACGAATAGTTCCTTTTGTATAACACGACAGATCTTTCCTCTCTTAACTTCTCCACAGTTACCATTGTGAGCTCCTTGCTGCTGTTCATCCTTCAAGTTCCTGGCCTTTCCCTCACTTCACCTTGCTTCCTGGGCAATGTCATGTCATATCTTTACCTTCTTTTCCTATGACTTTCAAACCTCCAACCCAAATATCTCTCCTGAGCTTTAGGTGCATTTTTTCAACTGCCTGCTAGACAGGTACTTCAAATATAGCATATAGAAAATCACTATCACCCCCTAATCTAAATTCTGTTTTCTTACATACCATATCTGAATGAATGGCATTGTCTCCCCTGTGGTTGCCTTGATTCTTTCCCTCTCTTCTCCCCTTTAAATATGACTTATCAATCCCTGTCTATTGTACTGCCTAAATAGTTCTCTGATCTCTACACTTGTCTCTCCAATATAAATGCTCTTTTTTATTAGACTATTCTTTTTTACCTGGATTTCTTTTCTGGGGGTTGGGAAGGTGGTGGCATCTAACCTGGATTTCTGCATAACTCCTCAACTAGTCTCTCTGCCCCTAGTCTTTTGCAATGGTAACAAAACAAAGTACCTACACATAAACTTTACCAAAACTGTATAAGATCTTATTAGAGAAAATTATAAAATTATATTGAAGGGAACAAATAGAGAAAGATACCCTGTTCACGTATGAGAAAACTTAGCATCATATACAAGTGTATAAGTTAATTCTTCTAAATTAATGAATAATTCAATGCATTTTCATCCAAAACCCCGATATAGTTTTTCGTAGAATTTGACAAGCAGATTCTAAAGTTCCTTTGGTAAAGGTCCAAGGCAGTTTTGAAGAAAAAGAGAGAAGAATTGCATTACCTGATATCTGGGCTTAAGTTAAAACAACTGAGTACTGAGAAAACAGATAAATATGTGGGAAATTGGTATGTTATTCATGGATTAAATACCAAAATATGAAAAAATAAAACTCTTATGAGAGAATATAAGAAAATATTTGTATGTCAGTAGGGTAAGAAAGAAATTCTGAGGTCACTGAAAACTTATGTAAAATTTAATATATGATAAAAGAGATCATAAAGTGAAAAAAAAATCAAACCAAATATTTTTTATATATACTTATTAAAAGTGTAAAAGCATGGACAGGAAGGAAATGTACTAACTATAGGTTTATGATTGCCCTTAGAAAGGGGAGGGAGAAATGGAAGGAGCAAAGAATTTTTTGCATGTAAAAAAAAAGAAATAATGAAATCTTTGGCAAAATGTCAATTGCGTTGCTTGAGTTATGTACTTGGATGCTGGTTTATATTATTTCCTGTACTTTTTTATATCTTTGAAATATTTTATGTAAAAATGAGAGGAGGAAAAAGCATTAAAATCAAAAGAAGCATCAGAGACCAAGTTCTGGAAATTAGGACAAACAGTGAAACAATGGGTGGAAAATATGTACAAATTACATAACTCATCAAAGGAATTGAGAAACTATAGCATTCTATAGTCATTTTGTGTATAAGTAATACCTCTCCAACAGAATTGATCCTAATAGCTCTGAATTATCTAGAAATAAAGTTAAAATATGCACAATATAATAAAGAAAGCAGGAAACCATTAAAATATTTTTAAAGGCTTAATGGAAAAATTGATTTATGTAGAATTTTCATTTCTTGGAAATGTTAATAAATCAGGTTCTTTGTGTGATTTTTAAGGTAGATAGTCTCTAAAAGTTTGTTTCTGATATCACATTATTTAATTGCTTACTATTTTTAAACCAGATTTCCTGCAACTTCTCCGCTTAAAACTCTTCCACGAAGGCATCCAGAATTGAGAAAAAGCAGCATAGATAATTTTTCCAGAGATAAAGATAGTATTTTTAAATTACGAAACTTATCTCGTAGAACTCCTAAAAAGCATGGATTACATTTCTCTCAGGTAAAACATCCTTTTACTAATTACTAGTATAAATATAATTAACATGTGTTTAATAATAGAATCATTAAAAGTAAATGATTCTTTAATATTTGAAACCAATACTGAAATCTCCTAACCTATATTACATTCTAAAAATGTACGTGTAAATTTGTTTGGAACCCATAGACACTGAAAAAAAATGATAGGGAGGCATACTTGGAAATGGTATTGATATAAGTGTGTTTTAATTTGAATTGAGAATGGTGGGAGCAGCTACAGAACCAAAAACTCCATTATCATATGTTACATTATTTCTTCAGAAGACACTTAACAAAGATACTTCAAAAAGTTTGTGGAAAAGTAGAATTAAAAGATAATATGAATCTTTCCATGAAATTTTTTTTTTTTTTTTTGTCTTTTTTCGTGACCGGCAACGGATCGCAACCCTCAGTGTCGCGCCCGTACCGGACCGGGACCGGCAACGGGATTGCAACCCTCGGGGGCGCGCCCACACCTCGCTCAGCCAGTGAGCAGCCGGTCCGTATGTGGGCTCCGACCCCGCGGCGGGAGTGCCGCCACACTCCCAAGCAGCGCACTGTAGCAGTGCACCCCCGGGCCGGCCCCTTTCCATGAAATTTTTTTTTTTTTTTCGTGACCGGCAACGGATCGCAACCCTCAGTGTCGCGCCCGTACCGGACCGGGACCGGCAACGGGATTGCAACCCTCGGGGGCGCGCCCACACCTCGCTCAGCCAGTGAGCAGCCGGTCCGTATGTGGGCTCCGACCCCGCGGCGGGAGTGCCGCCACACTCCCAAGCAGCGCACTGTAGCAGTGCACCACCGGGCCGGCCCCTTTCCATGAAATTTTAAAAATACCTTTGTATCTTATAGCTCCACAATGGACTGATATTAATAGAATGACTAAGTATTAGGAGTGGTGTCTGTTCAATATTTTCTTAATTTGGCATAACAGATTAAACCAAAGTAATTCTTTTTTCAGGAAAATACAGAGAAAATAAAGAACAAAACAATCAGTGAAGATCAAGAAAATTCAGTTGATAACAGAGAAATAAGCCAGGAAGATGTTGAAGAAGTTTGGAGATATATTATACTGACCTAGTAAGATAAAGCTAAGCTATAATCAAGTTTCAGACCTACTTAGATTATTTAATTTATTATTATTTTGACATTTTCATCAAAATATGCAAATGAATAAGAACAGATTAATTCTCAAAGCTTAGAATGTAACCTGTATATGTGTTTCTTAATAAATGCTCTTGTTCCAGTACAATAGAAACAATGTTTTCAGTATGATTTGCTTTTTCTTTGAATCAAAGTCATGGCCATAGTTTGGAGTCTGTATTGGAATCCTTCAAATGTTATTGAGATAAATACATTTGAAAGTGGATGCTGAATACAAGCCTTAGATGTTTGGTTAAGAGAAAAAAATATTCTGATAGCTTTTTTTGGTTACCAGTCATAACTCATTTATATTCTACTGCACTTATTTTTTGGAGAAAAAAAAAGTTTAATTCTTTCTTCTGTTTAGCCTGCAAACTATTTTAGGTGTGCCATCCCTAGAAGAAATCATAAATCCAAAACAAGTAATTCCTCAATATATAATGTACAACATGGCCAATACAAGTAAACATGGAGTGGTTATACTACAAGACAAATCAGGTTGGTATGAGTAGAAGAAATTGGAATCTTTTCAAACTTGCTAACTAAGGTTGCAGCTATAGGGGGATGCAGAGAAATGTAAATATAGAAAGTAGAATAATTGAGGGAGCATCAGAAGGGCCATGGTTTTATCATCATAAGTGCTTTAGTAATAATAGTAGAATAATTTTTAAGTGAATATTATTCATACTATTAAAAGAAATATTTTAGCTGCTAAGGTGGATTCATTCATTTTTTTTTTTAATGGCAGTGTTAAACCTCCAAAATATATACAACTACAATAAAAACTATTGACTGTTTTTATTGAGGGCCTACAATGTACTAGACATTGTGCTAAAGATTTAGTGATGAACAAAATAGAAATGGTCCATACCTTCATGGTGCTTACGTGAGTAGTTATATACAAATTGATAGGGTTCAAAACATATATGCAAAACTGCAGTAACACAGTAAAACAAGCCCAGATTCTCAAGATGAGGATTCTAAAGAGCACTGGCTATTTTTTATTTTATATATTTATATAGTCTGTTGATTTAAGATGTAGATAAGAAAATTGGAAATAATTCAAGCTGTATGCATTAGAAAACTTGGATTATAAGAAATGTATCAGTGAAACTACTCTCAAAATGTTCACCCATTTTTTAAACAAGTTGCTGTCTGTAGAACTAATTGGCCTGCATTACTTTGGATTTCTTCCTATGGGCAAGAACTTTGAGTTTTTAATTGTAGGAGCAAAATGTAAATGTCAAAACTGATGAGTTTGTCATGTGGCATATATATGTGACTTTGGACCAGTCCCTCCTTTCATTACCTTAATTAACATACTTAACAGCATATGTTCTCATCTGAGATTTCTATTCTTTGTAAGTATAAATTTTCAAGTCAGGTGTGTTTACAGTTCGTGCGTTTGTGTCAAAAAACTGCTAGATGTTTATGCAGCGTATTTAGTTAGCAGCAATTGTTGAAGCCTCACTGTGAAAGCACCCTAATATAGATATTCAAACATAGTTCATTTCAGATAGTTATTTCAGGTATGGATAGGAAAATAAAATATACAAGTATATGTATATTCAGATATATTCAAATATAGTTTATTTTAATCATTGGTCTCACCTAAATCAATAATATTCAAATAGCATAGCAGTAGGCAGAACAGAAACAGGGATGAAGAGAAGATGGGGATAGTAAATAAAGATGAATGTTAAGATTTATATATGAACACCCCTCACCCCTAGTAATTAATCCTTCATTTGACGGTAGCTAATTGTTTTATGTATTATGGACAGAGTCAAACTCAATATCTCTATAACTTTTTCAGACTTTTTATATTATAAAATATTGACTTGACTCTATATCTTGTTAAACATAATAATTTTTAATCCTGGTAATACACATACACACACACATACATGCATACATGTATGTATATATAATTGGACATAATAAATGTGAAGTTTTAAAATATACTATCATAAAAATTGTGTGATTTACTAAACTCTGTTAATTTTTTGTTTATAGATGATCTTCCTCACTGGGTATTATCTGCCATGAAGTGCCTAGCAAATTGTAAGTTAAACAAATATTATAAATATGTTTTATGTTGACGGTATTTAACAAGAACCAAGGAAATTTTTAAAATAATTTCTGATAAAATGAAAGTATGTCCTTTCTCTTATGTTTAAATGAAAGTCTAGTAAAATTGATTACATTATGGAACCCTTAATTTTCTGTGCAGAAGGTGATTTTATAATTCAAGCTGATCATTTGAGGCTCAGTTCACATAAATTACAAAGTCACAGGCTAGAGGATATCAAAGGATTTTTAGGTAAAATCTACACTAATTGCCTCAGTGAGGCCCAGAGAGTTCAAATAGCAGCTCGTAAGTAAAACTGGATGTTAGTGGAAAAGGTTCAATGAGAAATGAAGTTTAATAAGGCCCATTTCAGTCCCCTTGCCACTGTATATGGCTTCAACATTCAGGTGCTTTATAACATGTTTCTACTCCACAGGATATATTAATGGGACTTTTTCGTTTATGGAAAAAAAAGGTGATCTAATACTAATCAGCAAATTTTTTTTTTAACATTTCATTGATCAAGCTTTTCCATAATGATCAGTGATAATTGATTTCATTAAAAGTTAAATTATATTTTAATAATTTTAGTTATAAATGTAGTTTTCTAATTTTTATAAAATTAGTATTTTCTAAAATACTAATGGGGTTTTATTAATGTTCTGAATAAGTATATATTCCTTTGTTGTCCACTGGGTGTCAATATGACAAAATAACATAGAATAAATAGCAATAAAGTAAATAATATAAACTTACAGAAATGTTTATTATTAATAAACATATTAATAAATGTTTTTTATTTAATAAACATCTTAAGCTTGATTACAAGCTTAAGACTTTTGAGTTTCTCTTTCTACCTTTCTTACCTCACTGCCCTTCTTTTTCATTCCATGGCTCATGGTTAGCAACTCAGATAAGCATGATTATAGGGATTCTTCTGACATCCCATCTTTAGGGATTTTTGTCTTTCCTCTCTTCCCAGTCCATGTCCCAGTCGTAAATGATACCAAATGTATAACTTACTGGATTCCAATTTAACAACAGTGTATTTAGCCAGTGGTAGTATTAAGACTTTTACTTTACTGTTATTCAATCCCCCAGAGTAATTCTGTGAGATACAGAAATGAGTAATCAGTATACCATCCTAGTTTTTTTTTCCAGAGGAGAAAACCAAAGCTTACAGCGTCTTCTGTTACTACAAAAGAGCTAGAGCTCAAACCTCGATTCTTTAATTATAAATTCTCTATTTTTAATTCCAGTAAACATGTATTACCTATCTTAGAAGTTTTTTAATGGTTATCAAATATTTTATTCTACATATTAAGAATATTTTATGCATCTTCCTTAGAAAAATATTTATTTTGCTTAACATAAAATCCATGTTAGCCTTTAAGCTATTAAGTATGTGTGTGGCCACACAAAAGCTTGGAGACAGAGATGTAAGAAAGATTATTTGGGTTTGGGAAAAGAGTGATTTTAACTTTTTTTTTTTAAATCATGCCCAAGAAGATTCTTATAGCGAAGGTTCCCATGTCAGTGTTTGGAAACCACCAAATTAGTGAACCAGTTGGAAACATTACTAGGTCAGTAAATTCCTAACTCCACTTCCATAGATTCTGGTTTGTGTAGAGGAGTTTGTATTTTTAATAGGCACATTGGATGATTCTATTGTATTTAATCCATGGACTACACTTTAAATGTAGTTGTGCCTGTAAGTCCTGTGCCTCGCTCTCACTTTATACTGCTCTAAGTTCTAATTTTAGCTTTGCTACCAAGGGTATTTTCATCTTGGGCAAGTTACTCTGAGTTTCAATTTTCTTATCTGTAAAATGAGACCAGATCTTATTTCTGAGGAAAGCACTAATGAGTAGGCGTGATTGCTTCAACAGTTGAGTTAAGCTTAAGAAACAACAACGTAAAGATATTATTTAAATTCATTAAGGGTGTACTTTACATCGGGCCAAATTTATCCAATAAAAGTAAATTTACTAAAGATAATTTGGAAGAATTATTTGCATTATTCAAATACTCTTTGCTTTGTAAAATTAATTACAATAAAATATCATAAAAATAGACTTCGCCAATTCTGTTTGAGTATGATATAAAATTTTGCTTTACGTATAATTTTTCAGATGTATAAATATTAAAATAAAATGCTAGCAGGCCAGCCCGTGGCTCACTCGGGAGAGTGTGGTGCTGATAATACCAAGGCCACAGGTTCGGATCCCTATATAGGGATGGCTAGTTAGCTCACTGCATGAGTGTGGTGCTGACAACACCAAGTCAAGGGTTAAGATCCCCTTACCAGTCATCTTTTAATAAATAAATAAATAAAATGCTAGCAATTGACTGCTTACTGTGATTTCTAGTGAAAATATGAGAAGGAAGATGTGCACAAACTTTTAAATTGTGGCAGATTTGTTGTTAAACATAGCTCCTTCATGAAATACAAATATTATACATTATATTTAAATTAAAATATATTTTGCCTATTTCTTTTGCCTTCTACCTCTTAGGGCCAAGAAGTAATGATATGAGTAATCCAACTTATGTTGGATTTGAAAGAGATGTATTCAGAACAATTGCAGATTATTTTCTAGATCTCCCTGAGCCTCTACTTACTTTTGAATATTATGAGTTATTTGTGAACATTTTGGGTATGTATGGATTTTATTTATTATTTAAATTCATTTTATTAAAGTTTTCAATTTCCCATAATTTAAAATATCTAAAAGCATAGGTAAATATAAAGATGTCAGGTTAAATTATTTTAATATTCAGCAGTACCGTGGTTGCTTGTGTCATTTTCTAGCAATTCAAATATGTAATTCCAACACCACTTCTCCCCAACACCAATTGAGTGTCCAGCGATTCAATTCAGTTCTGACATTAACTACCCAGCATTAGCCTAGACCCCACAGGTTAAGGGATTAGTTCCACAAGACTGCCCTCACTTCAGAAGCCAGTTGCAAATGAGGTCCCTAGGCTACCTGCACTTCTGCCCAACCAACTACCAATTTAGTGGTTCCTTCGACCCCCTTTCAGGTTCAGTAATTTACTACAGCGACTTACAGAACTCCTGAAAGCACTTTACTTATGATTATTTGTTTATCTTAAAGGACAGAACTCAGGAATAGGCAAATGAAAAAAGATGAACAGGGCAAGGTATGGGGGGAGGGATGGCAGAGCTTCCATGCCCTTAAAGGCATGCCACCCTTCCAGCATGTCCATGTGTTCACCAACCCAGAATTTCTGTTGGCCTCATTATTTCAGAGTTGTAATGGGAGTTTAATTACCCAAGCATGATTGATTAAGTCATTGGCCACTAGTGATTGAACTTGTTATCCAGCCCCCTTCCCCTCCCAGCAAGTTGTAGATAGGACTGGAAGTTCTAATCCTCAAAGCATGGCCAGCCACAGGTCACCTTAGCATAAATTCAGGTATGCTCATAGCCTTGTTGTCAATAACAGAAGACTTTTTAGGAGCTCCATGCAGGTAACCAAGGACAAAGACCAAATATATATATTTTTTATTTAACCATAGTTGTCTTAAAATTAAGAGGTTTCTAGTACTTGTAGACTGAGCAGAAATTTTTTAATGTATTCTGCCTCGATCCATTTAATTAGGCTGTTGAAATAATATTTTAAAGTTATTATATCACAGCAGGTGGGAAAATCACTGGTCAATCTTGCACGTTTGTAACCGAATGCTGCATGTGTTCTATTTAATGGCTTCTATACTAACAATACATGCTATAGTGATGCTTTATTTTTTAACTTTACTATTTTTGTTTTATTTTGTCCACTGTCATACAGTTGCATCTTAATTTTTGTTTCATTTTCTGGTAGTTGTTTGTGGCTACGTCACAGTTTCAGATAGACCCAGTGGGATATATAAAATCCAAGATGATCCACAGTCTTCAAAAATCCTTCACTTAAACAATTTGAATTCCTTCAAATCAACTGAGTGTCTTCTTCTCAGTCTACTTCATAAAGACAAAAACAAAGAAGAATCAGATTCTACTGAGAGACTGCAGTTAAGTGATCAAGGATTTCAAGAAAGATGTGCTAAGAAAATGCAGCTAGTTAATTTAAGAAACAGAAGAGCCAGTGCTAATGACATAATGGGAGGAAGTTGTCATAACTTAATAGGCTTAAGGAATATGCATGTTCTGTCCTCTAACATCAAACCAAGGTGCTATTCTTTGGAAGGAATTGTAGATATGCCAGGGAATTCAAGTAAAGAGGCGTCCAGTGTCTTCTATCAATCTGTTCTGGACATAAACGGACAAAATAATAAACAATTTTTAGAGTCTAAGCCCAAACAGGAATGTCTATTGAATCTTCATTCAGAGGAAAGCACTCAAAAGCCACTCTGTGTTGGTTTTAAGAGAACCTCTACTTTGACTATTGAAGACCAAGAGGAGTTATGTAATGGGAAATTCAAGTCAAAACAGCTTTGTAGATCTCAGAGTTTGCTTTTGAGAAGTAGTACAAGAAGGAGTAGTTATATCAATATGCCAGTGGCTGAAATTACCATGAAACCAAATCTTGGACAAGGCAGCATAAGTATGCAAACAGCTATGGAAAGTGAACTGGGAGAGTCTAGTACCACAATCAATAAAAGACTCTGCAAAAGTACAATAGAACTTTCAGAAAATTCTTTACCTCCAGCTTCTTCTATGTTGACTGGCACACAAAGTAAGGTTGTTGCTTTTAATGCATGCATTATTAATTTTCAGTGTTTACTAACTGTTGCTTACTTGGCTTTTCTTCTCTGGAATTGCTTAATTTTTTTCCTCCAAAAGGAATTATTGTAAAAGACTTTTGTCATGATGTAACCAAGATTTATTCTGCTTACCTAAAGAATTTATTTTCTTTTCTTTCAATTTCACTTATTCTGAGTCACTTTATTTGTAATTAATGAAGGATTTTAATACATAGAAATAGATTGTAAAGAAAGTAATGAGACTATTACTGTGCTTTTGAGAAATGTAGAAAGTTCTAGAAATATTTAAATGAAATACTAAGATATTATTTTATCTCCTTTATGTAACTGTATATGCTGGTAGTATGAAGGCAACTAATGTCATTGATTTTTTTTTGGTGGGGTGGGAACTTTGCCTTTTAGGTTTGCTGCAACCTCATTTAGAGAGGGTTGCCATCAGTGCACTACAGTTATGTTGTTTATTACTTCCACCACCAAATCGTAGAAAACTTCAACTTTTAATGCGTATGGTTTCTCGAATGAGTCTGAATGTCGATATGCCTAAACTTCATGATGCAATGGGTACAAGATCACTGGTAAGTTGATTTCTTATGGAAAGGATAAGCCCTGGTTCATAAAACAAAAAAAGAAAACCCAACTGTCTAAAAGCCTATTCAAGTGATGTCTTTGTCTTAAAGTCCTAGATTCTTAGGTTAGACAGGCTCTTAGAAGTCTAACCTGTACTAGCAGTAGAATGTTGGTGCCTTAATCCTTTGTGCCCAGTTTCTTATACTTTCACATCCTGGTGTTAATCTTGACTGAGGACTTTGCTTTCTCACCTACCCTGCATCACTTCATAATGATTGACCTAGACAGACCACACATGTTGCTCTGTGCCAATTCTCTTTGGTAGGGAAGGAATAGGAGATGTAGGTATTGTTGATAGCTTAAGGGCACTATAACTATGGAAGTAGAGAACTAATGGCAAATGCAGTACAGTAAGTTGAAGTGTTTCAGAGAGTATGGTAGTGGGAAAGTTGTATTTGATACATTATGGTAGCAGGTTACTGTGGGCAAGAAGTTGGGAGACACTATTGCCAAGCAGCAGTCTCAGGCTCTTGTGAGGAGGATGATAGTCATTTATATGTAGACATTGATTGGAAATGAACCCTCAAAATAGTATCTCTAATCTGTCCTTTTTTTTTTTTTTAAAGAGCTGCCACTTCCTCTGACTGCAGCTTCAATCTACAAGAGGTTCTCATAGCAAGGAATCTGGAGCTATGCTCTATTCTTCCAGCCATTATTAAGGACAGTTCTTTAACAATGACAGACCCTAATATAAAGAAGAAGAATTATTCCTGAGTAATTTTGGCACTATTGAAAAGCACAGGAAGTTTGTAGGGGAAGATATTTTGAGAGACATGAGTAGAAAGGTGAAAATTCTGGTTTTACACTTTTTGGATTTGAAGTTGTAGGATATCCAGGTGAAATTTATCTAACAGAAGTTGGAAATGTAAGCCTGGTGAAGAAAGGACAGGGCAGAAGGCCAATTTTTTTTTGAGTCATCAACATAGAGATGGTAATTGAAGGTATGAAAGTAGGTGGGCTCCCCAAGGCTAAGAATATAGAGAAAGAGCAAAAAGCTGAGGACTGAGCCTCAGAAAGAAATAGGAAAACCTGCCTAATATGTAGGAATAAAACTAAAAATATTTCAATTCAGTAAATATGTTGATCATCTACTATGTGCAAATTACTTAAAATACAATTCTGATATTTTAATTATATTAGAATGGGGGTGTGTGTTATAGTTAGTGGGTTATATGGATATGAATGACAGTAATGAGTTTTAAAACATGAAATTTATACCAGGATTTGAAGACTCCTTATGATGTAATTGAAAAATGTGTGTATTAAGTTGCTATTTGAAGACTGATATAATAAGTATTAACTATTTTTCAGACTTTCAAAAGGCCAGCTTTGCAACCACTGATAAACATGTGTTCTATATGTTATATATTTGTGTTGTACTGGATTGTGTTTTTGCAGGGATTCATTTAGTGCAATAAGTCATTCTTCTCTATCTTTAAGCTTAAGCAGCACATCTGTACGGTATTAATAGAAATTATGGTGTTTACTGATGAAATTATGACAAAATTAAAGAAAAACTTAAGGCTTTTATAATCCTTCAGAATTATATTAAACAAATACTTAACAAGTACTTTAAAAGAACTTAAGCATAATAGAATTCTTACCTTTCTAACTGTAATAAATTATTATCCTCATTTTTAAGCTGAAGTCTGCTTATCACTATCTCAATACTTCATATTCATAGTACTACCTGGAAATTTCTGATATTCTAATTTACATGAAACCTTAGGTTTTTAAATCCACGTATTTTAACGTGTTTCTAGGTGTTACATACTTTTTCTCGGTGTGTGTTATGCTGTGCTGAAGAAGTGGATCTTGATGAGCTTCTTGCTGCAAGATTAGTTTCTTTCTTAATGGATCATCATCAGGAAATTCTTCAAGTACCCTCTTACTTACAGACTGCAGTGGAGAAACATCTTGACTACTTAAAAAAGGGTCATGTAAGTATTGTGAGTTTTAAAATTCTCTGCATTAGTCAGTTGCAAGTGACAAACTCATCTCAAACTAGCTAATCAAAAAGGGAGACTTTAGGGCCGGCCGGGTGGCGCACTGCTACAGTGCGCCGCTTGGGAGCGCAGTGGAGCTCCCGCTGAGGGTTCGGATCCCACATACAGACCGGCGGCTCACTGGCTGAGCGGGGTGCGGGCGCGACACCGAGGGTTGCGATCCCGTTGCCGGTCCCGGTCCGGTACGGGCGCGACACTGAGGGTTGCGATCCATTGCCGGTCACGAAAAAAAGACAAAAAGGAAAAAAAAAAAAGGGAGACTTTATTAGCTCACATAAACAACCTCTAAAAGTCAGGAATATAGACAGAATCTGGGAACTCAGATAGCAATAGGACTCTGTTTCCATTCCTTTATCCGTCTCTTATTTTTGTTTTGGTCCTGTGTTTGACAAATGGCCCCTTCACATGATGGGGAATATGAATGATTAAAGTTCATGAATCATAGCCTTAAATTTGCAATTCAAAGGCAAAAGATCCATTACTCCACCTCTAATTTGAGAAGTTTTAGGTATGGACTCTTGATTGGCCCAATCTAGGCTAAATGTGCATCCTTTGGGTGGTTGAGATTGAGTAGGATATAGAGAGAACCATACTTTGACTGCCTCTATATAGATTAGAGGAGAATTTGTTCTTCAAAAAGGGTGTCAGTAGAGGGGGTGGAATAGGAAGGAACTGTTACAAGAAGGAGAGAAGGAATACTGAGCAGACAAAAACAAAAGATATCTACTAAATTCAGTCTTTGGCTGCCTACTACATGTGTTTGTGTTTGTGTTTATTTCCCATACATACTATACTAAAATTGCCCTGGTTTATGATTTTAAATATCCCCTACAATTTCTTTCTATTATCGACAGATATTATGGGCTATCCGCATACCCCTCTGACTCAAAAACAGTAAATGAAAACTAAAAATATTTCAATTCAGTAAGTATGCTGATCATCTGCTATGTGCAAAATAGTACTTTAGGTCAGAACATTAATGTTTTAAGATGAATTAAAATAACACTTAGGGGGCCGGCCAGTGGCGCACTGCTACAGTGCGCCGCTTGGGAAGCGCAGTGGCACTCCCGCCGAGGGTTCGGATCCCACATACAGACCGGCAGCTCACTGGCTGAGCGAGGTGCGGGAGCGACACCGAGGGTTGCGATCCCGTAGCCGGTCCCGGTCCGGTACGGGCGCAACACTGAGGGTTGTGATCCGTTGCCGGTCACGAAAAAAAAAAAGACAAAAAAAAGGAAAAAAATAATAATAGTAACACTTAGATTGTTATTGTTTTATAATTAAAAGATTAAAATCCATGATTCATAGTAATGATGATAATAGCTACCTCTATTTAATGCTTATTGTGTTCTAAGCCCTTTATATACATTTTCTCATGCAATCCCCATTTTAATTGTGAGAAAACAGACCAAGAGAAGTTTAATAACTTGCTGAAGGCTACAAAGCTAGAAGGTTATGGAGCTGTGATTTAGATCCTGCTGATTTATCACTACTGCATAATACATAGTTTTCTTAATATGTTAATATGTTGAATGTTTGATTGGTGGTAAAATAATAGGTACTAGATCCCATTAAAAGAACACTTTACTATGTAAGAACATGACCAGAATTAACAGACTTGTACTGTATCATTTTGTTCACTACAGATTAAAAACCCTGGAGATGGAGTAATTGCTCCTTTGCCAACTTATTCATACTGTAAGCAGATTAGTGCTCAGGAGTTTGATGAACAAAGAGTTTCTACCTCTCAAGCTGCAATTACAGAACTTTTAGAGAATATTATTAAAAATAAGAGTTTACCTCTAAAGGAGAAAAGAAAGAAACTAAAACAGGTAAAGGAATAAGCAAGTTCTCAAGCATGTAAATATTTTCTAATATGCTGTTGCTGTTTGTTATTTAATCACATTTGGAATCTAATTTCTTGATTTAATATTTTGGATTTTAAATTTTGGATATATGGGCTATATATTATACTACATTTTATGTATACATTAAAGTACTTCTAAAATATATGAGTACCCACCTGATTGTACTCTTGATCCTGAATTTTAAAATAATAACAATAGATACTTCTATAATTATAGCTTAGATTAGCTTGGGAAAACAATTACAAAATCTGGGCTGTAATACATATCTTTGAGTGACTCATCACTACCATTTAGAATTTTTAGCTCTAAAAACCGAGTAGCTACATGATTCTAGCAAGTCTAATTCCAAGTCTGAGACACTGAAAGAAATATGAACTATATTAGATCCCTGTGACCTTCATAGGCTTTACCATTAGGAAAGAAGAAGATCTGGAATTGAGGAGAAGAATTAGCAGCAGAAGAGAATTCTAGAATATTAATGCTAACTGGTATCTAAGAGATTTTATAGTGTACCTTTCACATATATAAAAAGAGAGGGAGAGGCAAGGATAAAATGAAAGGATATTCATCTCTGTAAAAGACACTGAATTCTTATAAAATGTTGAGCACTGGCTTCAGCTAGGGAAATAACGTTAAATACCATCTAATTCCTTACTTCATTTTTAAGTTTCAGAAGGAATATCCCTTGATATATCAGAAAAAATTTCCAACCATGGAGAGTGAAACAGCACTTTTTGGTGACAGACCAACAATCAAGCAACCATTGCTGATTTTAAGAAAACCAAAGTTTCGTAGTCTAAGATACTAACTGAATCAAAAATTATGTAATACTTGTGGAACTTTGATAAATTAAGCCATATCTGGAGAAGCTAGCTACTAAAAAAGAAGTCTGTTATTAAGAACGTCTTCCTAAATAAACACATTGTGTAAGAAGGTGCCAAAATAGTTGTTTATCAATGTGAGACTGCTAAGAAACTACAGGATCTCAACTGAGAACATACAACAATAGGTGATCCCAAATATTTTAACCCAAAACAATCTTTTGTTTTTAATACAACTATCTGGAAAATCTATCAAGATATGTACTAAAATTTTATCCACTTGCATCTCAAAAACTGAGCTGTGTTTATCAAAATTAAGCTATAATTCTATTTTTAAAAAACTTATCTGCACCCATGCTTATGGATATCAGCTAAAGAACTAGTTATCTAGGGTTACTTCTTTGCTTCTAAGTGTAAGAATGTGAAGAATATTTGAAAGCTCAATGAATTAATTCTCAACTGCTAAATCACTCTTTTGTATGTTCTTTTTCTACTTTTGATCTATTTATATATATGTATGTGTTCTTAAAATATATATTTTATAAGATTTTGATTGTGCCTGAAACATTATCCCAACTGCTTCATTTATTCATTTTTTCGATAAATATATTTTGAATTTTTATTTTCTTAATCTACTAAAAGATGGAGATATAAAAGAAGTATAAGGTAATCATGTATTCATTCAAAAGATATTTATTTGGCAACTGCTATGTGCATTTCATTGTTATAGATATGTGGGGACAGTGTGAATAAAACAGAAAATCTCTTAAGGTATTTATTTTCTGATCAAGGGAGATACACCTGTAAGATGCTTAAAATAAGAATATATCTACTGAAATGTAGGCATAGGGAACCCTTCAGCTGAAGACTGACCTCTATGATTATGCAACAGTTCTCTCAGCTGGTGGATTTCAGACTTGTGTGCATTAGAATCACCTGGAGAGTTTTAAAGCAATCTATATGCCCAGGACCTACATTATACCGATTAAATCTGAATTTTAGGGGTGTTATATAGGCATTGGTATTTTTTTAACCTCTAGGTGATGTCAATATTCATCGAGTTTTGAAAACCAGTGCCCTACATGCTTTTTCTAAACATTTAAGTAAATGTCAAGATGGTGGCACACTGACTTCTTTTTTTCCACTACAAGAAAATGCCAAGTATAAATATACCTCTCATCTTAATACAAGGCTCTCCAGATTTCTGCTTGATTGACTTGATACAAACTTGAAGCAAGCTTTCCTCCTTTTTTTTTACTCCACGATGGTTTAATATCTATTCCTTAAGTGTAACGAAATACATAATGTCTAGGTATAATAGACTTTTTTTTTTTTTTTCCTTTTTGTCTTTTTTTCGTGTCCGGCAACGGATCGCAACCCTCAGTGTCGCGCCCGTACTGGACCGGGACCGGCAACGGGATCACAACCCTCGGTGTCATGCGCGCACCTCGCTCAGCCAGTGAGCGGGAACCGGTCTGTATGTGGGATCCGAACCCTCGGCGGGAGCGCCACTACGCTCCCAAGCGGCGCACTGTAGCAGTGCGCCAACCGGGCCGGCCCAAGGTATAATAGACTTTTAATACCTAATGACTATTCTGATTTCTCAATGTAATTTCATACTATTGATCAATAAAATGACAATGTTCCATTTAACATTAGTATTTTATGTTAAAAATTTGGACTGAAAATGGTTAAAAACACTTTTAGCCCAGAAACCCTGAACAAAATTAGAATTCTTTCCAAGGTATTTGTATGCAAAAACTTTTCCTTTTAAAGGTATATGATAATGTGAAATATGTTACAAATTGAGATAAAAATTATTGTCGGTTTTGTAACAATTTAATTTTCTTTCTGTATTTATTGATGGTAAATATATAAATATTGTAAAGACAGTAAACTTTCATTTGTACTAGTGTGTATGCAATTGAAATTACAAAATACATGATATAACACTTTTTATGTTCTAAGATGTTGCAGAGCAGTTGGGGGGAGGGAGAAAGGGGAAGGTGGAAAGAAATAGAGTGGGAGAAGGAAGGAGGAGGGGCATGGTTGAGGCCCATGGTAACCCCCTCATTCCTGCAGGGGAGCCCAGGGCTCTTCCACCAACAGCTTGGTGGTCGTCACTGGGCTTGTGAGTGTCAGGGCGGGGGGGTTGCATAGCCAAGACCCTCACCCCCAACCACCACCCAGGCTCCGGAGCCCAGGGTACTTCCGGTCCTTCTAGGTATTATAGGTGTTCTTTAGTGATGTGAGACCTTTACTAGTTAATATCAAACTTTGTCTCTGGTCTGTGAGTATTTTTTCAGTTCTGTGTTGGATTATTCACTGTTCCCAGCACTTAAATTCCGCACTGGAACTATTTATTGTCCTTTGCTTACTTCTAAAATGGGAGAATTTTCCCTGAGGACCAGCACTTGAGTCCTGTAGTTGAGCTAAATTGCTGCTTTGTTGCTGATTCCCTGGGGAAGGCTTTTTGTGCAGATCAGGTTTTAATTGTTGATCTTGTATGTACTTCTGGGTTTTGTTAGCTTCAGCACCCCTGGGCTGTGTGGAAACTCTGCTCTGGGCCCAGGACTCCCCAGCAAACTGCACCTCCTGCAGATCTGCGTTTCTGGCCAGTCTCCACTGAGTGGTCCTGTGCTGACGAGGGTCAGATCAGCTGTCCATGCTGCACCCTGGTGTTCCCAGTGGGCCCCCACCACCTGCACTCGAAACACTTCCCATGGGACAGGCTGTGCACCAGTCCGTTGCGATGACTCACCAACCTCTGAGCGGCTCCTCATCTCAGTCGTAGCTTCTCGCTCCTGTGCAGGTCCCTGAGAACCCCAACAGTGGTCCTGCTGGCCTGAGGGCCACTAAGGTCCTCCTCTCCCCTGCTGCCTCCAAGCAACCCCACACAAAAGGCACAGCTGTGGCTTTTACCAGCTCTTGCTCCATGCGTTCACCAGGGCCAGGCTTGAAGCAGCTGGGATTCGATATGGTGGGAGTGATTTTCTCTTATTGTGGCTTCTCCTGCCTTCATGAACTCTGTAAGTCTTTCCTCCTCTCCCCCTCAGCTCTAGCGGCCCCAGCTTGGCCATCGTTGTTTTTTAATAATTTAAATTAGTTGATTTGTGGGAGAGAGTGATGCTGGGGACTTTCTATTCTGCCATCTTGACCAGAAGCCAGTATAACACTTTAATACATGAACTCTGAAGTCAGGTACATTTTAGCTGTTTTTATCTCCTGAAAACCTCTATGAATGTGTGCTGAGAAAACGCAGAATGAATAAATGAAAGCAGTGTTGGCTTTTGCTCATTATAAAAAATAATTTTTGTATCAAAGCCTAGCTTTACATACATTAATTGACCTCTGAATTGCTCTTTCTGCCATAAGCAACTAGAAAAGCAGACAAATACATGAAACAACTATTTTCAGACATTGGACTACAGGTATTGCAGAGCTGTAATCCCTGAGGAAAGGAAAACGAAGGAGGTGAGCCTTGTGATTGTCCCAGATTACTGCTTAAAGGCAGTTGACATACGAATCAAAATAAAGTCTAATGGTCTTGCTGCATTGAGGAGCTAGAGATGACAGTTCGGGATAACTGGGGGAGCTGCAAAAAGAAAAAGAGCTCCAGACATCTGCAAAGTAGTCACCTAGAGATTTTTGCATTAATTGGCATGGGATGAGGGAAATGACTGGAGTACTAAATAACAAGGCAAAGGAAAGAATGACTGGGAAGCAATAAACCAAACAATTCCTGGATCTCACAGAGCTGGGCATATTTCATGTTCTCAACCACTAGACAGAATGGAGAGAGCTTGTAATACATGGACCAGAAGGGTTGTGCTTTAGTAGTAGGGCCAAATTATTTCTAGAATAAAAGCTGCTATGGATTCACCCTAAGTTCTTAAAAGCAAGCCTCAAAATGTTTAAATTGATCCTCAAGTAATTTACTGTGTGCCAGAACGAAGTCTAAAACTGAAAAGATTGAACAACATCCAGCATTTAACAACATACAAAGCACAATGTTGAGCATCCAATCAAAAATTATCAGACATGCAAAGAAACAAAAAATATGACCTATAACCAGGGGGAAATGAGTCATAGAAAATTTCAAAAATAAGAGATAATGGAATTAATAGACATGAGCTTTTAAAAATTATTACACACACTCTAGGATAAAAAGAAATCAGGTATATAGTAATAGAAATGGAATATTTTTTTAAAAGATTCAAATAGAAATTCTAGAGATGAAAAATACAATATCCAAAATGAAAAAATATATATTTAATGAGATTAAGAGCCAATTAGATACAAAATACAGCAGAAGAAAAGATCTGTGAACATGAAAACAGCAATAAAAACTATCCAAAATAAAGTACAAAGAAAAGAAGTCTGAAAAAAAAAATCCCAAGACCATTTATTACCTTTGTACTCAAAAAGTTTAAGAACCGTGAATATATTATTACCTTTTTGGAGAAAATGGAGTTTGAAGGAATTGTCTTCCTGGGAAATTTATTATTCATCCTGTCCTCTTTCTCTTTTCATTCTAACGTTTTTTAAAATTTAAATATAGATACATATGTTGGCACCTGCATGGAATATTTCTGCAAAATATTTTCAATAATTTGGATTGGCCCATGGCTCACTTGGGAGAGTGTGGTGCTGATAACACCAGGGCCACAGGTTCGGATCCCTACATAGGGATGTCCGGTTAGCTCACCATCCATGTAACTTTAGAAAAGTTGTAGAATTTTTCACAGCCTGCTTCCCTATTTGTAAAACAGGGATATACTGTACCTTGGGGAGTTAGTCTGAGGATTATAAACAATGTATCTAAATTGTCTAGCTCAATATCTAGTATACAATGGACACTCAGTAAAAATGCAATAATAATATTATTAAATATCTCCTAGGATTAAACCACTGAAGACCAAACCTCAGAGGCTCACAGGTCTTTGAAAAATTTTTATTCCAGTTGTTATCCCCATTTACAAGCATAAATTTTACAGATTCAATGCCTCAGCTTCTCTCCACATGTGTTCATTCCATCAACTGTTTCGAGTGTCCATGATTTGAAGGAACTCCTCTAGTGTTGAATAAAACAGACAAAGTTCCTGCCTTCTGTTGTTTTAAGTCATGTAATTTAGACCTTTTAGGAGAACTACAGTGATTTTGGCTTCCATCATATATAGTGACATGGGGCAGGAATAATTAACCATAAAATACAGCATATTTTAGAAAGTGCTTCTTTTTCAGTCCAGTCCCATCATTTATTTGCTCAGGGAAAACCTCAGCTGTCTGACCCTTACATTGTTTGAGATGTGTGGCATCAGAGTGCTTGATTTTTCTTCTAACTGTAGTTCTCCAAAGCTTGTTCCACATGCCACTTCTGAGAATTCATACTGTTTTCCTCTCTCTAACAGCTTCGGAGGATTAAAGTAGCACCACATTTATACTAGGTTAGTCTGAGATGGTCAATAGGATCTTGCACAAATTTAGAAAATTTCTAAAATGGGAGCTCTATTTTACAAAATGTTTTTGAGAATAACTGAATCCATATCTCAGATAAGTTTAATAAGGTTGATTTAACTTAGATGTAGCTAATGACACAGTTTATGCTTCTAAAAACAAACTACACAAATGAAAGTTCCACTTGGGCTCCTACACAGGGAGTGGTAGCAGTGTGTTTCTGTGTTTCTCTTTACACCCCCCCCCCCCCACCCC